AATGGTGTTGAAGTAGAAAATAGATTTGTTGTAGCTCATAATATTGATTTAACTCTGAAATATTAGGACCATACTAATGTAGAACTGTGTAGTTGATCAAGATCTATCAAAGACTTATTCAATTATATTAACAATGAACCAGATAGAGCGAGAGCTATAATTGTGAGTAACAATATGAGTAGTAATGTAAAACAACAAAATATAGGAAATGATAATGATGAAATTGAGGGGTATTTGGACTGCAGATACTTATCTGCATATAAATCTTGTTAGAGAATTTTTGTCTGACATACACCATGAACTAATAGTTAAAAGGTTAGTCATCCATATGCTAGATAAACAGAATGTATCTTTCAATGAAAATGACGATCTATCTAGAGTCATTTAAAGACTTGATGTGAGAAAGTCAATGTTCACAGAGTGGATGTACGCAAATCAACTACATACAAAGGTAAGAGAATTGATCTATGTTGACTTCCCAACAAACTAGGATTGGTCAAAGTCTGGAACAACTTGGAAGAAACAAAAAATAGGTAAGTCAATACGAAGGATTACATATATTCATCCAACCGCATGAGAACTTTACTTTATTATGTTGTTGTTGAATATTGTGAAAGGTCCAAGGACTTTTGAAGAAATAAAAATAGTTGAAGCGGTAGTTCCTAGTACATTTCAAGCAACATGTGAAGCATTAGGTTTGTTGGGAGATGATCGAGAGTGGACAAATGCGATTGTACAGGCTTCAAAATGGGCAATGAGTGAACAATTACAACAACTTTTTGTCACCGATATTATGTTATGTGAAGTTGCTAATCCATTGTCACTGTGGTAAAACAATTGGAAACTTTTTAGCAAGGACATTAACTATTAATTGAGGTAGGCTTTTAGCGCTATTAATTATGAAATTCTAGATAGAGATCTCAAAGAACTACACTTTGGTTGCTTTAGAATGATTTTTCAAAAAAAATTATAGGTCGTTTTCAAAATTCAATTTGCCAAAACCAATAGAAGGTTCAATGTATACAATGCATAACAAACTGATTCATGAAGAGGTTAACTATGCTTTACATGAACCAACAACAACATTTACAATGTGTGCTAAACTTGAATGTCGAACAATTAGATGTTTATCAAATTAAACAATCTATTAAGAATAATAAAGGTTGACTATTGTTTGTGTATGGCCAAGATGGTACATGTAAAAGCTAATTATGGAACATGATAATCTCTAAAATTAGATCAACAAGAAAAATTGTTCTTGTTGTTGCTTTGTCTAGAATTGCATCTCTACTGTTACTAGAAGGTAAAACGACACATTCCATATTCAAAATCCCTTCGAATGTTAATGAATGTTTAACTTGTGAAATAAAACAAGGTATACAACTTGCTGTTTGATTTAGAATACTAGTCTTATTGTTTAAGATAAAGCTCTTATAATGTATAGACACTATTTTGAAGCTTTGGATAAAAGATTACGAGATATACTTACTGATCATCATTCTGAAAATGTTAAAAAGCCTTTGGTGGGAAAATAGTATTGCTAAGAGGAGACTTCAGGCAAATTTGACCTATTGTGGAGGGTGGAACAAAATCTAAAATTCTAAATGCATCTATCAACCAGCTATTCTTATGGAAGAATTGCCATATCCATTGTTCGACAACGAACATGAGGTTTTTCCAATTTTATGTTGAAGAATAAACCAGATTTGAAATCTCAACTTTTGCTTAGTAGTTACTAGATATAAAATAAGGAAAATTTAGTGCTTCTAGCTATGATCTTAACAAAGAGCCATGCTAGATACAGATACCACAAGATTGTTGGTTCCATATACTAAAAACTCAATAGAAACTATTGTGTCAAGTATGTATGATAGTCTTAGAGACAATTTTGCTAACTTGGATTATCTAAAACAAAGGTTCATAATAACTCCCTATAATAAAATTATGGATTTAATAAACTCATATTTACTTGATCTTATTCCATGTACATTAATGTCATTATAGCATTGATCAAATATCAAAAGCTTCATATCATTCTACAAAACACGAACTGTTGTATCTGGTAGAATTTTTAAACTCATTTAGTTGTCTTAGTATTCCTAATCATCAATTGGATCTGAAGGTAAGTACAATTATTATACTATTAAGGAACATAAACCAAAGCTATGGATTATGCAATGGAACTAGAGTTTTGGTTACTCAACTAGCTATTAATGTCATAAAAGGAAAAATAATATCAAGAGCTTTTGCAAAAAGGATAGTATTATTCCAAGCATAGTCATGACAGTCAAACAACAACAATGGCCTTTTGTTTTCCAAAGAAAACAATTCCCAATTAGATTTTCTTATAGTATGACAATAAACAAAAGTTAGGGACAAACTCTTGATATTATTAGTTTGTATTTACCAAATCCTATTTTTATGTATGGTCAATTATATGTGGCTTTATCAAGAGTGACATCTCGACAAAGATTGAAGATTTTAATCTTGAATGAAGACAAACAATAGTTAAATGAAACTAAAATATAATCTACAAAGAAATATTTGAAAACTTACAAAAAGGTTATAGTAATCTCTTCCTCTGCTTAATAGAATTGTTTCTAGTTAAAAATCTTTTTTTAGGTTAGTAAAACTTTAGCTATTACAAAACCATTGTTTGCTACATTTACTCTGTGTAGTGTTATTTATCATTTCTTATTATCTTTTGTTTAAAGAAAATTGTTTAGAGCTTAACGTGCTTTCTTTTTGTATTATGTAAATGTTCTTAATTTCGACTATCTATCTTTGTACTTACAAATAATCCCACCTGATGTTGTTTCTTCCAACTGTTGCTTATGTACGATTTGAGACCATCAGATTCAAAGATATATAAAGCAATGAATAGTACAAGTCTAATTTTTCAAGACTATTTAAAATGTAATAAAATTAATGTTCTTAAATGTTTGTCCTCAGGTACAAATGACTCAGAATATTTAAATGATCTATAATTGTTCAAACTAGCAAAAGCCATACAAGTCAAAGTGCTAAGGATGTGGCAGTCAACGACTCCTGATAATCTTGAAAACCTTATCAGCTTTGACCTTTTACTTGCAGATGTCAATGTAATCTATACAATTGTTCAAACTCACAGTAAAATAACAATTAATTGATTCTTTTCACTATAGAAAAATGTAATCCAAGCAATGATCAAAGGATTAGATACAGCATAGTTTGCATCTATACTGAAAGAAAGATTTGTTTATTTGATTGACAAATTTCAGGTGATGAAAGCTAAGAACAACTTTAATGCTCTTCTTGGAGATATCATGGTTATCTTTTCTAGACTGGTGATAGTGAGAGAAGTCCATGACCTTGTTACTGGATATCCTTCCTATCATTTCAACTTCATACAGTACAGTACCATTCATGACCAGATACATCAAAAGAAAATCTTGACAGGTGTTATAAATAAACCCTTTTTTTATACTACTTTATATTGTAATTGATACTTTAATCATTGTGTCCTCTTATTTCCATGAAAATATCATATATATTATTGGACTATTAATGACAATGCATCTAGTAACAAAGGTCCAGCTCAACAACAAAGATCTATTTATGTAGAAGTGAGACATATATATTCAAAATACGACGTAAATGAAAAATACAAACAAATACTCATCTTTTTCATTGATATCATTTATCCTCTTACTTAAATTACTTAGCTTTTCGATATGTTTAAACAACTAGGAGACTTTGAAGGTTGTGTTGTACGAGGCTTAGCATTGAACATGCAAGAAAAGGAATTGTTTTATCGAAGCACAAATGTTGTGCTTATCTCTATTGGAGTGATGATCAAAGTTACATGTGTAAGTACAACACAGAAAACGTTTTTACTTATCGCAACGAGAACTTTATATGCAAAATACATAAACATTTTACTATATATTCTTTGTATGATCACTATATGCCTCTTCTTGTTCAGAAATAAGAATGTACATTAACCCAGGCATTTAAGAAGTCAATGAAGTGAAGGTAAAGTAATGTCAACACACACTATACTATTTAAGTTTACAATTAACAACTACATTTAAACCTATAATATTTTTTCCAATTAAAACTAATTGTCAGTTACCGATAACAACCAATTCAACCACAACTCCAACCATTGAAACTGAAAGCCAGTTACAGCTCAATCAACCAATTAGAATGTCAAAGGTTACTATTGCAAATGCTAGAAACGAAGCCAAGAAAAATAACGGTAGAATTTTCCCTTTATGCCACCATAAGACTTATAATAAATATTACTTAGACAATTCTCATTAACAATGATTAAAATTCCTAATGACATGTATGGTATTGTATATTCAACTTTCACAGAACAACAAGTTTGAACTCACTGCAACAATTGTGAATGTGGAAACACCAATTTGATGGTACTACAATGCTTGCAACCAATGTGTAGTAGGCTTGCGATTCTGCATCTAATAATTTTGGTGTCTAACACATGATGAAAAGACACTAGTTTTAATGTAAATAGGCTAAACTATATTTTTTCTCAAGTTCAGTGAGAACAATTATATCATAAATAAAAAAAACCTAACAATCATTTTATATTTCCTATAGAAAAATTTTGGAGCTTACAGTGGAAGATCAAATTGGTAAGATTCAAATGCTTGCTTTTGGTCAACAAGTAGAAAAATTGATTGGTGCTACCATCACAAAACTAGCTGCAATCAGATCAATATACAAGTTGGTTTTTTCAGCTCCTGTCAAGGCATTAATCAACACATAAAAAACATTAAAGGTAAGGCTAACCAAAAAAAAAAAACCATTGACTAAGGTTTGATAGTGTACAAGATTTTTTGCTAAATAGTGTCAAACAAACCTTACATGAAAGCTCAAAATTCACCGCAAAAAATAGGGCATTATTGGTAAAAATATCCATCCATAGTTAAAATTCTATCGATATGTTTCATTTCTAACGGAATTATTAACAAAAGTTTCAATCGGTACTCAATCGAAGATACAATGGTCGATAATGGCAAATCTGTAAGTTGACAGATTATTCTATCAATAAAATACTGACTGATTGATCCATAAGTAATTCCATTATTAAAGGCTTGAATCCGTCGATCATTATCTCGTCGATGATAAGGAAACTCCATCAGTTATTTTCATCGGTAAAGGTACCGATGGATTAAGATCTGTCGATAAATTCCATCAGTGAATATTGATGAAATAACTAATGGACGGCCTTAAGAGTCGACTTTGAAGCTTACAAGCAATATCCGTCAGCAATCGCAATAATTCCATCGATATTCCATTTGTATCTCATATGAACTCTATCAATAAAGGAAGAATTTCATCAGTGATTTTGTCAATAATTGATGAATTTCATCGCTAATAGATAAATTTCATCGATAATACCTATATCGTAAGGTTTTTTTTCTATGTAGGAATTAAATTGTCAAGATCCAAACCTAGAGACTGTGAATGGCACACAAGTCCAATGAGGGTAACCCATGAGACCCGAACAAGCCCTGCATAAAACGAGTAGATAAGTAGATGTTTTCAATAAGTCACAAGGCCTAAATGGCATATTTCATAACATAAGTTTAAATACATCCATAAAAAACTGCCCATAAAATTTTAGATACAAAAGTACAACCATGTACTATTCACAAAAGCCAAACATTGGCTACATAATGGGTTTAGGCCTATATAAAAAAACAAATAGGGTTTACACATCATAGTGGCAACATACAACCACTCAAAATTAACTTCTAACACTTTATCAAAATTAGAGGAGTGGACTCGTCAATTGTGATTTCTTATCGGATGCCAAAAATGTCGATAAACCTAAATAACACTAACCACTTCTTTCCGTATAAGAATCCCCAAAAGCAATTTATCTGCACATGGGAACAAGACATTAGGGTGAGCTCTTGTTAACTCAGTGAGTGGGCAAAAACCAATATGCATAACGAAAGCAATTCACATAAAACTACAATCTCAAGATATGCAAATATATGAAAATGCATATACGTAGTAATTTACCAAACCCATCAGAGCACACATTTACTCATTAAACTACTTATCGTTAGCTTTTAAACATCCATATACTATTAACAAGATGGTAACAAGAGAAAGGTCCTCTGGGTAAACAAGACACGTCTAGTGTCGAAGCCATTGATGATAAATAAGACCATGGGACATGCACCCCACTCCACAAGTCCATATCAATGTTCGGAATCTCATTCATTGGATAACATCAAATCAAGAGGTCCTTCAAGGTAAACAGGACAGGCATCCCACTCCACAAGTCCATATCATCGTCCGAAATGCACTCATCGAACAAAATCAAATTAACATTGGCCACCATGTTGCTACCCCATGTGCAGATGTCATTTTCATAATTATTTAGCATCATTCACGGATACTATTAAACAATAAATTAATAAACTTTCACAATTCAAGTTCAATAGCTCATAAGAAGCATTCATTACTTAAAAGCAATAATGTTCATACACATGCATAATATAAGAGCATCAAGACATAAGCATGTGCTAACAAATTGGCAAAGTCAGCATATATAGCCTCAAATACAAACATAATCAAGCACAATCACCACTATGTGGCTTATACAGGACCAAAGCAGGATTCAAGAAACCATTTGGATGGTTTAAACATTTCAATGTGCTTATTTCCCATTCAAGATATGTATATATCAAGTCTTTTTCACCAAACATAATTATTGCTAAGCATAGCCATAAGGTAGCTAGCATTGAACCGTTGGCCTAAGCATAATACGTTTAGACACATATCAACCACGTATATCCCATTGCCAACATATATTCATATAACTTTTTAATGAAATCAAATTCATTACTCACATGGCTATAATCACAACTCAAGTAACCCATCAGCCTAGGCATTTTATTTGCATTAAGCATTACAATAACAGCTCACACACACACACACATGTGTATGTATACTCATATACATACATAAACCCATAGGTAAACTTATCAAATATGACTCAAATATGTCCCATGGCAGCACATCTACATGTATTATGCATTACATGCATTCATCCAATGTCTAACCAATAAGTCTCACTCACTTAGCAAGTGATTTCCATCAATTAAGCAAATTGAGTTATCCTTGCTCACCAATAGTTTTTGAAGCTTAAACTTCCTCGAAATAGAACATAAGAGCTCAATTCTTAACTTAAAAGCATTTTCGACATTTCACAGCTTAACTACATTTCAAACTCAACCAACAACTCTTAATTCACAATCTTCTTAGATTTAACTATCTAAGGTGTTTAAACTCTTACCTTGGCAACTATTCTAAGGGTATTTCACTCAAGTGTTTATGCAATATTTCTCATGTGTTAGTTGTATAAATACTCTCTAGACTTAAGATATTAAGTTCTCTTATCTGTGGATTACTATGCTTTGATTTCATCTCTATGGGTACCTAACCAAGGATGCCAAAACAAGATACTTTTGAGTATAAGTTAAAGTATGTGAAGGAAAATGAATGGTCAAGAAAGGAATCATCACCCCAAGTGATTTAAAAGACATATCTTAACAATTCTTGGTTGATATTAGCTTGTTAAAGTCTTTAGCCAAGGCGACTTAGAGATTATGAAAAAAGAGTTTTATAAGTCTCTAAAAGGATAACAATCTAACCACAAGAACGAATGTGGAGATCAATAAAAGTAAACATTGTATCATGTCTTATCATTTTTGAGATATATGATGAAGAATGAATTACACTGATAGACTGTAAACTGAAAGGTTGTTATTGCTAAATGCTAGTCTTGATTTATCGAATTGAAGTAATTAATTTAATAAAAATTATAATTTGATTCCATTGATAACATATTAAGAACCTAATGAGTCACACATAATAAGTTGCATTATGAATTAAACTGAAAGTATGATTATTTAAGTTGAACTTAAATCATACACTAGGTTTTTAACTTTTAATGACTTAATTAATATAATTTAATTAAGTGTAAAGAAAATATTGTAATTAGTTATAATATTAAAGCCTTAATTGCAAAAAACTAAAGTAAATTTAATTTAATTTTAATTTATAATGACTTACTTAAAAGGGTTTAATTAAGTGTTAGGCCAATATTATAAAAAGTCATAATATTGAGGCCTTATTTGCAATTTCAGAAGTTAATTAACCTAGATATAAATATCACTTTTCAACTACTACTCATAATACAAGTGAAACACAATAGTTAGTTTTTTGAGTTGTCAAATAACAAACAAGAAAGCTTAGTCGCACATTTTCTTAAGTGACTTGAAATATAGTTTTCCAACGTTATGACTCAGCTAGGAGGAGTGTGATTGTGTGGAGAAGAGAAGCTGTTGTCCACCTTGCTAGTAAAAAGGCATAATTGAGAAAGCTCCCTCCTTGTAAAGGTTTAAGTGTTGTGTGTGCAACCGTTGGAAGCCAAATACTTAGGCGGTTTGGGTTCTTCCTCCTTTTATGGTGTACACAGGTTTGAGTAGAAAGAAGAGTAGTGTTGTATCTTCTTTCATTCAAGAGGATTTACCATTGTGATTATGACTACACGTGGCTAGGTAATATATATTTATTACTCCTCTTAAATTTTGTTTGTATTAAAATCACTAACGTGATCCATGAGTGGCGATATGGCATGGTACGTTTAAAATTCTTATTTTCCACTACGTATGATAATTATTATCTATGAGTTTCATGCCATTCCAACATAAAGAACACATCATTAAATGTATCATGATCATTAACAACATATAGAATTGTATTATTAAAGTGCATGATTTTTGTAGTATTAAAATAAAATCACGTACCATCCTTTTCTGGTGTAGGGCGAAAAGTAAGGAACTGCTTGTATGTTTTGCAACGTTGCCCTTCTTCTCTATAAGGCGATTCTGCTTGCCTTTGCATGAGCGTGACAACCATTTAATGTGGACCATATGTTATCAACAAGCTAGTCCTATTGTCACGGGGCGATTTTTCAGACCACACACCATGCGACTTTGGGTTCAACCCTTATCCCGGTACTAGAACCCAAGTCAGCCTTAGCGCTCAACACCCGCCCAGCAAGCACTAAGCACACCCACACGCAGCACAATACTTTTCGGTCAGCCGGCACACTCACACTTGCATAAAAGGGAAAGGAAGAAAAGAGAGGAGAGTGCTAGAAAAAGAAAAGCTGAACTTTTATTGAATGAATTGAATGATTTACACAATCTACAAGGGCTTATTTATAGCCAATTTTCACCCAAATATTTCCCTCCAAAATATTTAGAAGTGAAGCTAAAATTTCAGCAGCTCAAGCCATTATGGTCTGGAGGGCTGGCATCATCCTGGGCCTTCTGGTGGGTCTGGGCCGCGCACAGGTTGTGTGCCTGGGGTCTGGCGGACTGGTGCGCAGAGGCCACGGGCAGGCAGTCTGTCTGGGCGCTGTGCGGGCCTGCGTGCCGCACGCCCCTGCCGTGCCATCCTGCATGCCGCGCACCCCTGCTGGGCCGACGAGCCCCGAGCCTGGGTGTCGCGAGCCCATGCTGTGCGGGTCTACATGCCTCGCACCCTTGCTGGGTCGATGAGCCCCAAGCCTGCATACCGTGCGCCCATACTGTGCGCACCCGCGTGCCGGGCACCCCTGCTGGACCGACAGCCCCGAGCCTGCGTGCCGCGTACCCATGCTGTGTGGGTCGACGTGCCGCGCACCCCTGTTGTGTGGGCTGACGCGCCTACGCGCAGTTTGCTTGGCTCTGTGAGGGCTGGCTTGCCTAGGGGCCTATGCTGTGTGCCCCTACTGGCACCCTGTCGGGCTGGCTTTCCCAAGGGCCTGTGCTGTGCGCCCCTGCTGGCACCCTGCACTTGCCTTATGCTATCTAGTGGGGGTTCTCTCCCAGTAATACTCCCCCACATACCAATACTCCGAAACACCCTTGGGCCACCTCTAATGTGCTGAGCTGCGATCCGTGACACCATACCTCGGTAGTGATCCAAGGTCGTACTTTACCCTTCGTTAATAGAAGATCGATGATAAGGTCGTCTGTTTCCCTTTTGGCCTTATCGCATTCATCCCTTAATAGATCCTTAAGGTGATCCTTGCAATTCTTCTCCCATATGGACCAGACCTTTGTCACATCTGCATCAGCCCATTTAAAAGATTCCCACATCTAAGAAAAATATATATTAGTATGAAAAATTATTATAAATATAAACTAATAGTATATCTTTATGTTACCTCTAATTTACACCTCATGTTATCTTTATGCTCTTGAGGAACTTGCCTCCATGTTGACGAAGATCCACTAAAGTTACTCCTAATAATCCATGTAATTATCAAAGTAATGCCAGTCCCTTCAAAAGTACTACAAAATAGGGTTATTGTTAGTAAAACGCATAAAATAATTTACTAAATTTACTGTGTATAATTAATGATACAAATTGGAGTAGAGAAAACTACCTCTCTCTGAAAGGATGAAGTAACCATTGGTCTGGATGAGTTGGAATAAGCAAGTTGAGACTCGACCCTCAATTCTTAGCCTACAATATGTTGTTGGATGCAATAGTAGCATCCAAAGTTAAGGTTTGACTAGAGTAGTCAAACTTGACATCGATTCCTCTAGCTCGACTTCAGTATCTACTACTAAAGTGGGACTCCGTGGTTTAAAGGGAAGATGCGACTGATGATGCATTATAGGAGGTCGGTTAGTCGAAAGGCCATCACTACTAATGTGTCCTCGATAACCTTCCTTCATCTTCTTTTTTGAGCTTAACCATGTCCGTCGAATAAGAAAAAAAAAGTACAACCGTTATTATAACTATAAAAAAAGTTACTTAAATGAATATAAACATTAATTTAACTATGAATAAATAAATAGACAACATGATATATATAATGAAACAACTTCATAAAGGTTTAATGTCAAAGAGCAAAAAATAAATTCGTACTTTTTTTTGCAAAAAAAAAAAAGCTTCCATCAATCTTCATTTGAACAAGTGAATTCATTTTCTTCATTCTCATCTTCTTCATCATCAATATCATTTTCATTTTATTTGTTTGATTCTTCCTCTATCTCGTTGTATTCTCATTCAGCTTAATTAGCTTTATCAATTTTATCATCTTCTTCATTATGTTCAACATACACAAATGAATTAACCTATTCATATTCACCATTAACAAAAATTGTATTATTGTCAAGGTCAATCAAAGTATGATCAAATCATGAATTGAAAGTAATTTCATCTTCTTCATACACCTTTTCGTTTTGAACATTGCTCGTCAATCACGTTAATATCTTTTGTTTGATGGATACAACGTGTAGTATACTAGAGTTGCTTGTTCTATTAAAACAAAAGGCTCATTGCTAGTAAAAATCCAATTGTGTCTAATTCCGACCAATTCATGAACAAGATCTACTAGAACACCTTTGGATCTTCAGGAAAGACAGGTTCATTTCGGGTTTCATCATTGAACTGAAACTCCGATCGTTAAGCATCTATAACCATTTGAGCATATGGGTTTTCTCTTTTGACTTCATTAACTCCATTTTGCTCATCAAAAAAATGCCCCGATGATTGTCCAACATGGAATGAGTGTCCAACATCCCATATTATGTATGCACCAGTAAACCTTTTACAAAATAAGTGCTCTCGAACTTTATCAATAACTAAGAGGAAAGACATTTGATTTTATTCTCAGTCACATATTTTGATTGGCTGGCGCAAATGATATAAATTCATCTATGCCATTCACAAATTCTGTCCTCAAAAATTAACTTGAATCAACTCAAAAATCATCTAACTCCGATCTCATTCCATTCTAAGAAAAATATTATAACGGATATATAATATTGTTCGTTAACAGATATTAACACAAACATTAATTGAAAAGATTATTTTATAATACTAAAATTATAAAAATTATATTTTTATCAACATATTATTTTATTAAAATCTTACTTAATTTAAATGAATTTAAAATATATAATATTTTTTAATTGATTTACCCTAAACCTTTAATTACTTTAAATAATTTTAAAATTTAGAAAATTGATTAAACTAAGGTAATTGATTAATTACTAATACAAGTTTTTTATAATTAGTAAACCTATTACTAATACATGTTTTTTATAATTAGTAAAACTATGTAATTAATTCCCTAAACCCTTAATCAATTTAAATAAATAAGATTTTATATAGTATTACTAATTTAATTAATTGCTTATTTACTTAATTGTAACACATTACATTACTAATTAACTAATTTATTTAATTTACTCATTCACACTTTAATTAATTCAAATATTTTTTAAATTAAATAATATTGCTAATTTACTTCATTGCTTAATTGCTAAAACATTTTCTCGTTTGATTAGTTAAATTCTTTAATTAATTTAACACAATCTTTATTAATCCAAATAATTGTATATTTTACTAAATTTACTAATTTTATTAATTGTTTAATTACTTAATTATTATACACTACATTACTTAATTACTTAACTCATTAATTCACAGCTTAATTAGTTTAAATATTTTTTAAATTAAAAAATATCACTAATTTAATTACTTGCTTAATAACTAAAACATTTTTTTTCTTTTATTTAGTTAAATTCTTTAATTAATTTGCATTTGGGTATTACTATTTCCTTTGTATATAGATTATCAACAACAAATTACTTAACACCATAAACCCAAATCAATAGCTTATACCCCAAACAACAACGCACAATCTTAACCAACAAATTAATTACTAAACTCAAGTCAACTAAACTAAACTAAACTCAACAAATTAATGCATTACTGAACTCAACAACAACAACAGATTACTCAAGCAATCGTCACCAATAGATTACTAAATAGATTAATTATATTAATTGCTAAATTTTCAATAGCATACACAATACCTTAAACAATAAACCCTAGACCCAAA